AGGCGAGCTTTCCCAAAACCAATGTTATGCCGAACTTTGATTGATAGAATCATCACATTTGTTACGTCTAACGAGTATAACGCATACAGATGTCATCCAACCATCCCCTTGGGCGGAATTTATGCCGTAGATATTATCTCCAATTTGAAGGACACCGCGAAACCTTAAAATACGTTTAGGTTTGATTTAGTGCTCTATCGCTTGAACCGCGGTGGTATCTGACCTTGAAAATTTGCTCACGTAAACAAAATGCTGGAGCGTGCAACCGGTCAAGACTAACTTCTAATGAAGTGCATAACTTCAAAAACCGCATAGTTTCCTAGAAATTAATTACGGTTTACTTCCCTTGAAGAGCTCACTGAACTAGTCACACCTCGTGTCCGATTGCTGCGGGTTTTTTACAATGTTTACGTTTACTCATCGCTTGCTAAGCAGCTCTCCTTGGTTTGCCTTCCCCCTGTTTCATCACTGCCCAATATGTTCACATTGTGGTGACTCTGTCATGCAATAATTTACTTCCTACAAGTTTAGAAATAAACCTATTATTGTTTTGAACGAAACGGCATCCTTCTAAGATGCTCACAAATGCTGGCCCTTTTTATGTACCCATATACACGGCTATATCCTCTCCCTTACTTCCCGACCGCGAAACGTTTTTGGGTGTAATCAACAAAGACCCCCGAGCATGCTGATAGGATTCGGCAAAAACCCAACCGATCTGTTTCATCATTCAGTTGCAAGCTTACAGGCAGCACACTCAGGCGATCCAAGCAAATATTGCTCGCCGCGAATGGTCCAATTTGTGACCCTCAAACGTTTGCCTCTCACCAACCCGTGACCCATCAAACCAACCCACGTTATCACCACCGTCTTCACCAATTGAAATCTTCTCCAGTGTCTTGAAAAGAGTGATAATCAGGCCGTGTACGGTGACCGTGAATGCTGCTGAACTGGAATGCTCCAGGCAACACACAATCACACTAATTAGCTCAATTCATGTACGATCAGTACTTCAGAGTAAGCGTGTATGTAGCAGTTTTTCGTGAGTCCCATGCCACAAATGATGCGCCTTTCGTGTACAATTTCTTCCGCTTATCTTGACTTGCCCTCTCCTAGTTGACTACCCAAACTTGGCTCCTGGAGTGTATGTAGTTTTCGTGAGTCCCATACCACAAATGATGCGCCTTTCGTGTACAATTTCTTCCGCTTATCTTGACTTGCCCTCTCCTTGCTGACTACCTAAACTTGGCTCCTGGAACCCCCAATTCTCCCAAACAGCGAGTGATGCTGGCCCTTCCCATTCTTAGAAAACCCATCCTTCGGGCGAACCGCGAAAAAACCGCGCAAAAGTCTTCTGAAAAAGTGATAGACTATGTGTTCACAAACTAGTCGCTCCCAGATCCTCGAATTGCACTACATGCCAATCAACACAAAGGCATTGGTTAAAAATTAATTTTCCCACCTCAAACATCATAAAGTTTTCTATCTTATTTCAACTTCAGCAAACGGGTGCGGTTCTCTCGCCTCGCTTTCCGTGATTTACCTCCTCCAATAAAACTGTACTATTTACGCCTCTTTTTAAATCTACCAAGGAAGCCAAAACAAAGGACCAGCACAGGAAACCATGAACGAGCATCTAGCGCTACCCATCTCGGGTTCGCTTGCTGTGACAAAGGTCATTCAGCTCTCTGATACAGTAGTCGAGACCATCACGGTGTTTCTGGTGGGCTGTCGCACGAGGCGGTGCCAGTTGAGGGTTGTTTCAAAAAAATCACCACGAAGCTGACAGCCACATTTCGCTGATCTCCTTGCAAAGCCAGAACACGGATCGCTTCACTCAGGGTCATTACGCGGAAGAGGGAGCAGGGGAAATTTTGTGGTTTTAGTCACCCTTCACTACCCGTCTGCCGGAAAGCAGATTTTGGAGAAGCTGTCAGCGTTCCCAACAATCAACCATACATCCGAGGATCGCCCTCCAGTGGCGTAAAAGCTGGGCCACGGATGTCCCAGAGGAGAGTTTCGAAAAGCGCTTCCGCTTCGTTTGAGTTCAGCTGATCCCAAACTTATGGCCAAACCGATAATATGTATGACCCCTCGTGCTCTCGAAAGCAAGCCGACGCAAATGGCGGCAGCTATGCATTGCAACTTCTGCTCAACCGTCGCAGACCCGTTGACTACCAAGGGCGGCGATGCTCGCGAGGAGACAAGAATTGCGTGGACTCAGCGTCCAGTGTACGTAGAGATATCATCGACCATAAAGGCGCGGCGGCAAACTCCACGCTCACGTCACAACTTTTTGGCTGGAATGGGCCAAATATACGGTTACGAGCGGTGAAACCTACCGACAAATCAAATATAAGCTTTGACCTCGACACCAAGTACTGCTGCAAGAATCCTACAGTCACTAAGTATGTGAAACCGACATTCTCCGGCTCCAATCAGCCGGAATTGGTTTCTGTAATTTCGAAAAAAGCCGTCACGGGCCGAAACCACAAACTGTACAAAAGCGAATCAAAACATCCTTCGCACACCCAGTTGGCCACGTTGGTTGCGGGTGAATAGGGAGTCCACAAGAAACACGGAGAAAGTGACTCATTCAAATATGCTGCATAAATTTCGCCAAATCAGGACTGCTGGTTAACTTCAAGGTGCAGTCCTCCGCAAAAACTAGCTTCATGGGAACGCCGCCAAAAGAACTACTTCTTGATGCTTTCCCCAACGCAAAGAATCTTGCATATGGCTTACTGATCAAACCACGCAAAAATGCCTAACGAACCAAACTGAAGCATATTTGCTCTAACTGTATGAACAACAGCAAGCAACTAGCCACAAACAACAGCAGTCTAAGCTTTGGCTCTCGAGGGAACAAACTACGTCCCTCGAGGAGAAATGCACGTGCAAACTGGACTTCAATGGAGCCAAAAGTACCCTGAAAATGAAAAGTATCCCTCAAAACCAGACAAGTATACCGCAGAGAGCCCTTTGGAGCCCTGGACTCAAATCCAGCTAGCTCTAACCTTCCGAGGCAGCACAGAAAGTGTTGATATGCTTGTCCACAAATCGCCTCAGTTTAACAACGGAATTTACAATATTTGACAGTCAATTTGCCTTAACCCACCGTCCGAAACCGCACTCCCAAAGACCTGGCTTACATGAGATTCTCTGACGCGAAGATCTCGACTGGCGATTTCGGGCTGATTCAAAACGGAGCAGGGACGGTGGGGCGGCCCGTCTCATAGCAATCGTCCTTTCTGATACCACTCCCGCACCATTTTGCGATGCACTGTTGATTCAAATCACGCTACACGGGATCGGTTTTATTCTCCTCGGCGCGGTCTGCTGTTGTCCACTGAATTCCCGGAACACGACCGATTCCTCATACAAAAAACTGAGGAACTCACCTCCAGTTACCACTTCACGCATCTCGTGATGGTAGGTGATTTCCGGATGAAGTTGAATCCCGTCGGGTCCGGTGGACATGTTGCAGCAGCGCTGACCAAAGTCGTTCAACGGAGATCTCAGACTCGGCATGTCGCCAAACCCATTAGATATAATGCAGGTCAACTACAACCTCTCCGGGATTCGGTAATCACCAACGAAAGACACCTCGTTGGTCAAGTGTTACCTCCCCAGTGGGGCATAGTGAAGACTTTGTACTGACTTTTGCCTTCATTTGCCACTGAGGCAGCAATCCTGAACCCCAAACGTTCAGGCTTCTCAGGAACGCGCACATTTCTCGATCAATTTAAAATAGGGCCAGCTCCACGCTGGCAAACCCCTCCACTTGATGTTTTGTCAGTCTCTTGACGGAGGCAAACTTCCCTCTGCTTGGAAGGAAGAGGTTGCCAAACCGATCTACAACACTGGTGGCTGACTGTCGCCCGGCAACTGCAGGCCTATTAGCCTCACCAGTGTACCAGGCAAAGTATTGGAACGCATTCGGAAGCAAGTCATCGCAGATCATCTTACTACCAACGACTTGAAACCTCTACTTCAACACGGCTTTCTCCCAAGCGGCCCTTGTGCGACGAAATTCCTTGTCTTTATGGCAGCTTAAATAAATTCATGGACGAGGGACTCATATCGCCTGTCATATTTTCGGCTCCCCACTGACCCACAAACACGGGTCTTACGGGATTCAGGGTGAACTTCTCCGTTGGATTAAGGTGTTGCTACCAGAAAAACACTCCGAGCGAAAGTAGGCCGATCCACACTTCTCCGACGCCGGTCTCCATGGAAGTTCCACAAGGCTCCTTTTGGGACCACTGCTGCTTTTATTCTACGCCACCGACATTCCGATCGTTTTTTCAAGCCCACATATACTTTCTGCGGACGAATGGAAATCCCAGAGTTCTACTGCTAGTGTCCTCCAAACGGATGGAGACACTGCAAAGCGGTGGTCGTTGGCCAAGCATTTACTTCTAAATGACAATAAGTCCTTCCTTGTGGCATTCCAGGAAGACTGAACGAACGCCCTTGTCGTGCATGGTGAGAACGGACCAGAAGACATCACAATAATGGATGTCAGAAGGTTCTGGGTATCTGGCTCTCTTTGAAGATATTTTCACTGCACCATGAGGAAGCAGCTCAAAACGCAGTCGCCGTTTTGCGGGTTATTCGCCGCACCTTCTGCGTTACTCCCATGGACTCCAAATACTCTGTGGGCTTACGTCAGACTGCCTATCGAATTCGTCAACCAATCAATCTACTAAGGACGCGAAAAGGGCGTAACCCTAGCTATCATATCCAAAGAGCTGCCACGAAAATAGTCGCCAGCCTTAAACCAGTGGACTATGAAACGCGTTTCTCGGTGCTTGACTTCTTTCTCCAGGAGTATCGTCGTCTCAGAGGAGACCTAATTCTTACTTATGCCCTTTTTAGAAAAAAATTTGTCCAACATATTTTTCACCGTTGACCCAGCTTACGGGGAGGTCTTGGTAAGAAGATTTTTAATCTCAGAGTGAACATTGGTGTTAGACAATTTTCCTCACTTCGTGTAGATGCTGCGTGGACCAACCTTCTTCCGACGATCGTACACGCTACATCTGATACCCAGTTCAAAGCAGTATAAGGCGCTTTTTATGGGAGTTATCACACTGGCAAGCCTACCACCCAGCACTGATAACTTAAAGAGCGGTGTTGCGCCATTTTTACATCTCTCAGGTGAACGACAGCTGAACGACACGAACAAAATCGACCCGGAAAACTCGGGTTAAAGCTTGGATCCTCTGTACCAGTCCGTAAATCTCTATTCTTCTCACTGACTGACCCTAGTTTCCGGCTTTACTCCTATAAAGAATGACATTGCTATTTGCTCATTTGCTATCCACACACCATTAAATACTGGAACTGCACTCGCTGCCCAGACGTCCGCACAATCAACCTCCGCCTGACACCGCAAGT